CCCAGCACAAACCCAAGCAAGGTAGGACTGCCTAACCACATGACCAAGGTGCACCCACATGCCTTAATCATATCTTTTCCCAGTGGTTTTTTTTTGGGGTGTTTTCACAACACAAGCATTAGGCACACAGTCAGAGTCCATACTATCTTCACAAGGCAATGTGTGTCCCCAAGTGCCCTGTGACTGGCACAAGGCCAGAGTTGCAAAGTTCAAGAGAAGCCTCTATTTATGCAAAGGAAAAGAAAAGAGGCAGCTATACTGGATCTTGTACTAAGTACTAAAAAGTCTGGTGGAAAAGCCAGTAGTGAGTAGACATCACCTACCTTGAAAAGCTCTGAGCGAGGCTGATGGATTGTAAGAATCACAATCCTGCCTCTGTGTGCAAGCTCTGAGAGAAGCGAGACAAGCTGGTTTGCAGTCAGGCAGTCCAGCCCTGTCGTTGGTTCATCAAGTAGCATGACCTCTGTAAAATGATAAAGAATAGCTTTAAAATTCAGGTAAATGAGGAACAAATGGCATAGCTTCTGCCCTTAAAGCTAATTTGGCAAATAACACAGGTCTTTACAGGTGAAGTTCCACACATAAAGCAGGGTATGCACAGATATTGCCATGACGTCATCTTTCAGTTTTAGTTAGTTACAGTGGTTCAGTTTTAATGACTGAATGAATAAGGACATTAAAAAATATTTCAGAGCATAATACTTCTTCTTCTAAATTCATGTAAAATCTGAAAATTACCAAAACAGTTTAGATGCATACATCTGTTCTAAGAACAATAATGATAAATTTCAGCATGCACAAAATCGTAAATAAAAGCGACAAAATTAACTAGAATTAAGTAGAATTTATATATTCTGAATTAAATCTATATATACACACAGAAGTTTGTTCATTTGTTATGAACTAACCAAGGATTGTTAAAAATACAGCAGATGCAATTCCATAGATTGAAGCAGATATTAACACCTTTTCTTTATTTAATGGCACATGAAAGGGAAAAACTTAAGTCCACTATTTTTAGAGACATAGAACAGAAGAGGGCAGTCCAATCTTGATCAGGGTACGAGGGGATGAGAGTTTTCACTACAGGTTTATCTACACAGAATCACTATAGTGTTTACTATAAAGTTTAGTGAGGTCCTGAGCAGCAACTACACCCCAGGAGTCACCAGTAGTAGGGATGTACCTATTTAAGCTCCTTCCTGCCTAATATGTAGTTGTAGCACATCCACATGGCTACAAGGACTCCAGCATCCAATAAATATGTGCTGTACATTCACTCCATGAGATTCTGACACCTTCAAGAAACTCTCTCAAAACAGACAAAATTTTTCCCTTGGATAATCCTTCCATAGTTATTCAGCTTTGACTTCCTTTCACTGAATTTTTTCGGCTCTGGAACATATATGGTACTCACACATATATACACAGATCAAGAGCAGCTACTCCATTACAAGGGTCAGTGCCTGCACGTGTATGGCTCTAATGTACTCAAAAATGATAAATTAATTGGCCAAATTTTGGGAAAAGTGAATCCAGAAAGACTTAAAATACATAAATCGAAGTCTAAACTTATGTTCAGTCCCTAAGATTTTTAAACTGTCTGCTTTCCAAGATCAACCAACAGATCAGTGGCAAACCCCAGTTACTGTTTATTCTTTTCTGTCATCACCAGACTGGCTTCTGCCAAATTAAAGAATACAAACAGTTTTTCGTTTTAAAGTGGTTTACGAAGGCCTGTGGTAGGAGCACAGAGTGACACAGCCTTGCTTTATTTTGAAAATCCATGAAGTGGTACTTACTGGGATCTTGTAAAAGCTGCGCTGCAACCGATACCCGACGCCTCTCACCCCCAGAAATTCCTACAACATTCCGGCTTCCAATTATTTTGTCAGCAATCTGGCTAAGACTCAGCTCAGCCATAACTGCATCTACCTGAAAAATAATTACAATTTCAAAAGACTAGACACAGTCCAACTCAGATACCTGTGTGCAATGTTAAAGAACAGCAAGAAGAAAAGACATAATTTTAAGTTATAGCTTTACCAATATCCTGCTTGCATCCATTCTAGCTAGACGGTATCTGGCCTAACTTCTATTTGATAATTTTTAATTCATTATTTAAATTATTTTTTTTAATTATTTCAATGTATTCTGAAATGAGTAAATTTTAGCTTCACTTGACATTAAGAGATAAGAGTTCAAAGATGGGACTAAAAGTTAAGGTATGGAGCATAATGCGCTACTCTGGCTTCCAAAATCAGGGAGCAGGAAGGCACATCAATTCTGGAAAAGTGTGAAGTACTGAGTTGAAGACTAGGGAAGGGAGAAGACAGAAGGCAAGACCCTCTGGCCAGGAATATCCAATTTTACTTCAACAGAATTCAAAAAGATCCCTTTAAATAAATCTGAAACACACAGGTTTTATCAAGAAAGTAGCTTGTAGGGGGCTTAGAGTAGATCAGTGCTTTTCTGAGCTGTTGTGGTTAGTGAGAGATGTCCTACAAGAGACAGAATGGTGTCAAAATCAGTTCTGCTGTCCATGAGATTTGCCACCACACATGTGTGGCATGGCACATGGCCCTAAATACCCCAGAGAACAGATTCCCCTCTGGGGAAGAGGAACTGGCCTCAATATCAAGACCAGCATCTCCTGCAGTAGTAACTGCTTCAACTTTGGGCGGGAGGGTTTTGTCCCAGCATAATGGTGATGCCCTGGGGCACCAGCACAAGCCTCTTGAAGAGGCCGGAGCTTGTGTCCTACTCCTCAGCAGAGGGATCTCTCCCCATTTGCAGAATGAGGATTACAAAACCTCATAAACATAAAACACAGACATGGATGGAAAGTGCTACTGGTGAAAACACTACATAACATGCTGTATGACTTTCTGGTGGAAGACTGTAAAATACCAACCTTCTTTTTGATGGAGCTGTTGGAACATTTCTTAACAGTTAGTAAAGCTGTGTAGGTCAAAGACTCCTGTATGGTGAGAAAGCTTAACAAAGTGTCATTCTGAAAAAAAGTGCAGAGGAAGAAGTCAGTGCTGTAGTAATTAAAATTTTGTCCCTCTTCATGCAAGCTTAATCACTCACACAGCTTATTAACTAATTTGTCCCAAATTTACTAGTAAAATCACATTCACATGACACTACTCCATTACACTAGCAACTTTTTTTACACAAAGGGAAGCACAGTACACAAAACATAAATGTAGAATTCAACCTGTGGCACATAAGAGAAACAATCTCTGAACTGTTCCCTCTTCAGCTGACGTCCATTCACATAGACTTCACCCAAGAAGTTGTCTTTATGTCCCAGTCTTCCTGATATTGCATCCAGAAGTGTTGTTTTCCCAGACCCTTTCAAACAAAAGAAATTAATCAAGTGCTGAGATGAAATTTGTGATTCCAAGAGTGGCAGCCTGACTTGGATGGACACATGAAAAGTACAAAGTTGGATTATTTTCTCAATAACTTAAAAATAATAGGCCCTGAAAATGCAGCTGATTAAGGGAAAGTAAATGGGAAAACTAGAATACAAATTAGTATTTAAATAATAAAAACTTTGCAGCAAAACATTTGAGTTTTGAAGTAACCTTGTCTGTTACTGAAGTTACAATTGTTACTTAGCAGACAGAAGACTGAACTCTGAAAACCCAAGCACCAGTTTCACAATGCAGTAGTTAAAATCAGCCACAATTTCATTATTTAAAACACAGACCTCAGTCACATTCGTGTCATTGTGGAAGTCGCCACTATTAACTGTGATCTTATTTCTTTTAAAATACTGGAACAACTTACCAGAATTTCCTAAAATCCCCATAATCTGGCCACTTTCTATGTGAAATGAAACATCCTTAAGTATTTGCCGGGTCCATTTTTTACAATATAAAGAAAAGTTCCACCACGGGCCAACACGTTCTCTTGGAAAACAAACATCAATAAAAAAATTATGCAATTTTTTTTGAATATGCAAACATTTTGCATAAAGCAAGTGAATGGTTCATGGCTACTTGCATGTGGGATGGGAGCTGCAAGGATTTAAAAATATGAAAAAATAAAATTATTTTCCCCCTTACCCTTTCCCCTCCTAAGGCTTTTAACTTTGGCATTATCTGAAAGATAAAACGAGGCCTGACCACATTTTTCAGAATGATTGCTAAGAGGTTTTTGGACTATAACCAAAAGGGCAAACGTGAACTGTGGCTCTATCAGCTGATGATTGCCAGCCATTAATTCACCTGTTCCTTTCCTTAGGACCTCGTGTTACCCCTCCGGCAGCAGCAGGAAAGGCAGTGGGAAAGGGCACAAGGTTTGGAAATCTCCGGTAAAGCACGTTTTTCAGAGGCGTGAAGGAGATGTGGGGAGGCTCGGGAGGGCTCTGCCCTGAGGCGGAGGGCCCGGCGCCATGAGGGGAGCCTGGCACCATGGCTCCTGCCGCGCTGGGCTGCGGCCGAACCCACAGCGCACAGGGCCGGCCCCACTCCCGCAGCTCCCGGCGCCGCTGAAGGGACCCTCCACACCGCCCTCCCAGCGCTACCTGATGGTGTAGGAGACACCCTGGACGCTGATGCTGTCGGGGAGCTCCCCCGCAGCCTTCACCTCGCCTGTGTGCCCGATGCTGCCGCTCTTCTCCAGGGTGGGAGACGTTCCGCCCGACATCCTGGGGGGCCCGTCCTCCGCAGCCTCTCTGCGTCCCTCACGCTGCTGGCCGGGTGCCTGGCACTGCCACGGCCGCCACCACCATGCCTTCCCCGGCACCACGCAGGGGCAGCTCCCGCTGTCCCGGGTCAGAGCAGGTCGCTGCCCCCCGGCACTTGCCACCTCAAAGAAAACAGAGATGTTTTCTTTCTCCCTGTTCTTTCTTTTTCCAGAGAACAACTAACTGATCAGTGATTAGCTGAAGCCGCTATCTGATGTACCTTTAGCCTGAGCTATTAGTGTCCTAGAGGTGGGGAGTATTTCCCTGTCCACGGGGTCATGCCAGCTGCAGAGACACAGAGCGCCAGGAGAAATGGTGCTGCGGTGAGGGTGCCTGGAAAGGACTGCGCTCCAAACCAAGAGAAGGATTTCCACAGCTTTCAAAGAGACGATAGTCAAACCACTGCAGGGAGCGAGACGTTCCACCACCACCACCACTATGAAGGAAACTACTGAAAATGTCTGTCTGGACGATGCCAGCTGCAGCCAGGTGATGTGCGAGGGCTTGGCTGTGAGTGGAGTGGGGAGGGGCCCGAGGGGCTCCGCTATCCCGCAGCTACCGCGCTGGCCAGCAGCTGGGGGAGGGAGGCAGGCATCCTGCCCAGCGGGCCGGCGCAGTCAGGGAGCCCTGAGCTCGTCCCGCTCCGAAGCGCGGAGCAGAGGGCGCCCCATCCCGCACCGGGGCACACGGAGCATGAGGCCGGCGCTCAGGTGCCACCATCGTGGAGCAGAGAGAGCGTCTCCAAATGCGTGGATGGAGGAGAAAGCCCCTGAGCATATCCTGGACTAGCTTTCCCAGGAAATGCCTTCAGACTGGATCCCCGCATTTGCTGAGGAGCACCTGTTCTTAAAAATTAGGTTCAGCATAATGAAGGGAGCAGAGTGTTTTGGCAGCAGGGGTAGTTTGGAGGGCTTTCCTGTGGTTTTTCAGGCTGCTTGGTGTTATGTTGCTTTCTGCTGTGTATCTAGACTGAAAAAAAATAATCAGCCTTGTTTGCTGTGAGGGCAGAAGGTTGACACAAAGATCACGGTCATCCTCTGCCAAAGATACCACAGGCATGTATAGGGTCTGGTACACAGGGGCCGGGTATGTTTGCCTTCGCTAGGCTATGAGTCTGACAAGTAGGAAAAGCACAGAGCTGTGGAAGAGATACAGCTGTCTGGAAGGAAAACTGCAGGCATGCACACAGAGCTAAACACAAAGCCAGAAAGCTGCCTTGCCTAGGACTTCCCAGCTGCAGCTTTTCCTATGTAAAAGGACCAAGTAGACTCTTGTTATTTTACCTGATAGATCAGAACATTAAGATGTTCCAGATGATAAATGGTGAATTTAAAAGAACAAAAGAGAAGAAAGGGACTGCACCAGTGCCTGCTTACCAATTTGTTCATAAAGCCTCCAAGTGTACCGAGTCCATGTGGAATTCAATAATGGACATACTTCCCATGAACCTTCACTTTTAGCTGCCAAAATGCATAATTACAATATACACCATTTTGATTCAGTAGACTAATACTGCTGAAGTAGTACATCCTTCTTCCTCAAAAAAGTCTAATCTCTTTAGAGTGACATGACATTTATTTCCATTTTGAAAGTTTTCCCTTTTAATCTGAAAGCAATTGGAAAAGAGCAGCACAACATGTTTGGCCCTCACATGTCACTAGAACAAAGTATGTTTCACACTGATTAACAGATAACTGATAACTCATTTCAACCCTTCCTTGATTTCCTTGACTTTTGCACTACAGTAGTCCATCATTTATATTGTTACATCCCATAAATACATTTCCCTTTGTGCTTCATCCTTTCTGAACTCAGACTTGAGCAGCACTTTAATTATTGCAGTTAACTGATGCAATCCACCTATCAACTTTTCCAGACCAAGACCCAGGATACTATTTTTCACTCTGAAGAAGATAACAGTCTTTATTTCACATACAGTGGAAAATCAAATGTTCTGGAAGTCAAAGAACTCAACTACCAGGTAAAAAGCCTCAACTACCAGCATGTAAAAATTGTCATTTATACACCTCCCTTCAGCAGGAAGCATATCCAGCAATGCCTGTTTTTATACCCAGGCCATTTTAAAAGCCAAATAAAGTAGAAGTTCACACGATTACTGTACAGTCAGTTTGTGAGCAGAGTCACACTCTTGGCTGCAATATTGACATCAGACTAACCTCTGTATTGTAAATACATCCAGTAAAGTTAAGGGATAACACAGGAAGAGAGGTCTGTTTCTAGGCCCTGCTTTGTTTCAGTCTTGAGCAAAATTATTCATCTGAGGGCTGTAGCAGAGGGACTTTCTGTTCAGCTAGGGATGAAAGGAGCCCTTGCTAGCAAGAACGAGTATGTAGAAGGGGATAAAGAGAAGATGACTAACAAGGAGGATTTCAATGAAGCAGTGAATATTTCATCTCCTTCTCACCATAGCATCTAAATAAGATTTCACAATTTTCAGTTCTGTGGAATTTCTAATTATATTTAAAGTTTGAAACATTTAAAATTTACAGTGGTAATAAATTACCAAAGTAACAAAGCACAGAGAGCGTTTTAGTGATTAAGAGAACAAGAAGCAAGGCATGAAAGCATAGGTGGCTGCAAAAGAGCTTCCTTCTATGAATTTCTGAAGATGAACAGTAATATTTTAATATACGCTTTGCTTGTAACATTATAACTTGGAAGGTATTTGTTGTTAAATAGTTTGTTGCTTGAATTGAAAGGACTTATTTCCTTCTTTGTTAGGTTAACAAAGCATCCCAGATTCCCTGGTATGAGAACCTTGCTCAGATGAAAATGCCCTGGACATGGAAATCGGATCCCGATTCCCACATGCCAGTAATCCAAAATCTGAATCTAAAAGTGCGAAGTGGTCAGATGCTTGCAATTATAGGAAGCACTGGTAAGAGCAAACACATTTCATTGTATGACCAGCTCTCAGATAAAATGGACATAATCAAGAGCAACACTCTGCAATCTTTATAATGTCAAAATCTAGTTGAGAAAAAACTATTGGATGTGACAGTAAAATACATTCTTTAAGTGACATGATGAACAAGGAAACCGAGAAAGATTTGGGGGGGGGGGGGAGAGGAAATTAACATTTATTTTTAAACCAGTTTTTGTTATGCCCAACACACATTTGCATTCTGTTTCCTGACGTGTAGTGAGATATTGTTGCAAGTGTGGCCTTGCAGCCCCAGATTTGCTAGACATGAATCAGTTTCATGGCTCAGATTCAACACAGTTCAATTGCAGACCATACTCAGATAGCAAACAAATGAGGCCAGACCCCATAAGAAAGATCAGTGCCAACTTGCATAACCATGAGCAGGAATTCTATTTGGACTGAAAATTCTAACAGGATAAAATAACGCATTTGTTTTAATTGGTAGAAACTTACAGAGAAGAAAAGACAGTTCCTCTTCTGCCTGGTGTTACTGCTTTATTACACTATGGTTTGGTTTTTTCCTTCCATTTTCAGGTGGGACTGGTCAAGGGGGACAACAAGTAGATACAGGACCTTTAAACTGAAGTAAAAAGTGCCATACTTGGGAGGCAAAAACCCCCATGCTGTGTCTCCACTAGAGTCTTACACAGGTTAGCTCAGTGATTCAGTGAAGATACGTTCTCTCACAGGCCAGGCATATTTGCCAAAGAAGTTTTAACTTTATTCCTAAAAAATTAGAGTTTTCTTCCCTATTGCCATGGGAATTTTTCCTTAGCACATATTCTTAATGTAAGTGAAGCTTACCTTAGAGATTCTCCTGATAATAAAAGGAAAAGCTTTGTGATGAAATAACATACTGAGTTATAGATATAGCACCTTTGTAAGGCAACATACACTGAGCACAAACCCCTTTCAACAAACTAGTCAAACTATTTTCAAAAGCTGTTTATCATCTATTTAATCAAATGCCTTTGTAAAATGGATTAAACTGCTGATGGGTTTCACATTGTCAATGGCAATCAATATGTCACTCTTAAACAGAGCAATACATGGTTTACAGATGGATGGGTTTCTTTTTTGAGATGTATGTATTAAGAAGGAAGTGTGGAGTTAATCTTTCAACAGGGAGACTAGAAATAAATGACATCTAATCATAAGAGAGTTCTGTGTGTTTACATACAGCATCACACAACAAAAAGGAAAAATTCATTTGCTGTTTAACTCCAAATCAGGTTTTGTTTTCATTGTTTTACTTTTCTTACCTCTGGGTATGAGCCAACTTTTCCTAATTATTTAAATGACTTTTTGTCTTATTTAAGTAATAATAATTTTTATTTCAATCGTGATTAATGTTCTTATTGTCAGTGTAATCATTCAATGCCTTAGTCATTCAGCTGATCCAGCTCCTCTTTCTGAATTCACAAATCCCTCCACAAAGAGAGCTCTTGCTGAGCATTTGGGTGGCAGCCTTGCAGCCAGGGCAGGACCATCTTTCACCTCTGTTTCAAAAGTGAAAGAGAATTTACCAAAGAGATAAGAGACACTTCTTGTGTTCATGAAGCTGTCCTCAAAGCTCGGATACCCAATTCTGCTGAGAAATGATAAGGGTTCAAGCCACATACTCCATTCCAGAGGGGAGAGATTTCCTCCACGGGAGCTTATAGTCAATATTTTCTTTGAAGATCATCCCATCTCTGTGAAAACTTCAGGAGGGGTTGGGGAAGAATTTTTTTTCCTTAACATCTCTGTCCACTGACAAGATCACTTTTCAAAACCATCCCTTGGAAATTAATTTTCAATTTTTATTTTTCTAGCTGGTGGAAAGACATCCTTGCTTGATGTGATAACCTGCCGTGATCATGGAGGCAAAATCAAGTCAGGTCAAGTCATGATCAACAACAAACCCAGCACTCCCCAACTTGTCAAGAAATGCATAGCACACGTGAGGCAGGATGACCGACTGCTCCCACACCTGACTGTCAGAGAAACACTATTGTTCGTTGCCAAACTGCGTCTTCCAAAGTTTTTTTCAGACTCACAAAGGAAAAAAAGGGTAATTAAACTGTTGGGGAAAAATAAAGTTGTCAAGAATGTGTCTGACAGGAATTATCCAAGAGATCCTGTATGTTTGGAGTCAGAACAGCTAATCTGGCATTTTTTTATGTAGATTATGAATTATAAACCTTTTTCATCTTTCAAGATAGAAAGCAGCAATTGTTCCAAAGCTCATAAAAAATGACAATCTAGAGAAAGCATTAGAGAGGCTGAAAGACGAGCTAAATTTTTGATCGCTGAGTCTTTTTCAATGTTACCTCTAAAATCAAGATTTGTTTTCAAGTGTCTCTAGCACTGAAATAACCAGATGAATTTTAACCCTATTAATCATATTTTCAGTTTTATCTATGCACGAATGTGCAAATGAACTCTTTCCTGACGCCTGTCACCCTTGGATCCCGGCAGGTGGAAGATGTGATCGCAGAGCTCCGCCTGCGGCAATGCGCCAACACCAGGGTGGGGAATGAGTACCTGCGGGGCGTCTCCGGGGGAGAGAGGCGCAGGGTGAGCATCGGCGTGCAGCTGCTCTGGAACCCGGGTGAGCACAACTCACACCTTCTTGGGGCCCACCACACACCACCTGGGCGTAACGGGGCACCGCATGAAGATGGAAGCTTTCAGGGAAGAGCCACACACTCAGCTGCCCCTAGGGCAGCTGGAGGAGGTCATAGTGCTTAACAGGCTTTGCACCACCCTCTGCCAGAGGCTGCCTCTCCACAGCACAGTTAGTGACTGCTGCTGCTCCATTTGCTTAAACTGCAATCAGTGCTGATCACAGATAATACTGTAATTATTAAAGGAATAATTCTGTAAACAGAGTGTTTCAGGAGCTGACACACTTCTGCTTCGGTCACCTTTGCCAGTGGAAAAGTGGAGACAGACCATGGCAGAGCCCTCAGGAGCCTTCACCCACCACTCTGTAAAACCACCACCACAAAGATTACTCAAAGTTGCCTGAAGTTACTCTCACAGCAGTGCTCTGGTTAGTCCATATCACATATCACTTATAGTGATAAGGTTTGGGTTTTATCTGATCACATGCCACAAGTTACTTTGGTGTATTTTAACATGGAAATTGTTTTCCTTTCCCCTGACACAGTCCCCATTTACATGTGCAGTATTAACAGGAAAGGTAATTTTCTTTGCTCTATAGTCAGTCATTGCCATCTTGTGCAACTCACTGACATGATGTCATGTTGCAGGTGAACTAGAAACTTCCATTGTCTTCAGTAGAAACAAAACATAAGGCTAAATCCACAGCTGATTTTGCTGGATTGAATCCCTTCTCTGATCTTATATATATCAAAAGCACTACTAACCTTGACTGAGCCTCTTGTTGAACAAGATTCCTCATCAGTTTTTTCTCTAGGAAACAGATTTGAAATCTTTTTGCTTGTATAAAGTCATACTTCTGTAGTTATATGAAAAGCAGTACTTTTGTAAGAAGTGATGCTCAGGAATAGATGTACCAAAGTTAAAAAAAAATTCTAGTTTCTTTAAATTTAAAAATGAGTGAAATTTCATGCACTAGCACCATTTCACTTAGAACATATTTTCCAAACCAAACATGCTGCTTTTCACAGCTAAACTTAATGCCTTTGGCAGGAATACTCATACTTGATGAACCCACATCTGGACTGGACAGTTTTACTGCACATAACCTTGTGATAACATTATCCAGACTGGCCAGAGGAAACAGATTGGTTCTTCTTTCACTTCATCAGCCCCGGTCAGATATCTTCCAATTGTTTGATTTGGTTCTTCTGATGACTTCTGGACTCACTGCCTACTGTGGAACAGCTGAAGACATGGTCCAGTATTTCACAGAACTAGGCTATCCCTGCCCAAGGTACAGCAATCCTGCGGATTTCTATGGTCAGTATCAAGCACTGTCATAAAAAAAGGGTTACTGGAAATAATTTGCTTTCCTAAGTGGCTAGGTAATGTTGATTTTTATTGACCATGTCTGTCTTCGAAATTCCTTGTAACTAACTCAAAACAACATTGCAGCAAGTTCAGTTTTTAATAGGATCCTTATCTGTTAGTACAGGAAATGTAGCAAAGACAAGAGGTACAGACAAAACTAATTTTAAAAATGCTCCTTCTAACCATGCCAGATGCAATAACTTGTCAACATATTTACCATACTTATTCCCATGTCTTAGCTGGTTGAAACTTCTTCTCTGGGAAAGACACAGATAAACTCATCAACTGCTATCTGTAGACAGTTCTCTGATTTCTCAATTAAGAAAACGTAGAAGTTTGTTTTACAGAAGCTAGCTCCTAATCTGATACAAACCTGGAACAGGTAATGGGAAAAAGGAGTGCTGCCCTACAGAGCACACTGGAAGGGAGAAAATCCTAATCCAAATCAGCAATCTTTTTACTCCTCAAAGAAAGTTTACGTGGTTTCAAATACATTCATCATCTGGTTTTAGCAATGCGGAAAGGGAATCTGCCCCTGTTAATCTAGGGGCAGGAATCTCTTAACAGAGGCTGGTTCGATTCCCAGGTCTTTGCACTCAAGTTGGCCAGAAAACCTGATACGGACCTCAGAGAACCATAATGCTCTGGAGTAATCTCTTTAGCTGTGCCTGTGTGGCAGGCAGTGCTAGCTGCACAGAGATAAACAGAAATTAACCTTGGTGTCAAGCCCCACAAAAAGACCTTTGTCACCATCAGGGTTCAGAGAGTCCTCAGCCAAGCACAGCCTTGGGGAGGCTTGCAGCACCCCTTTATGGGAATGGAGAATGAGGGAGTCCTGGGGAAATCTGTAGCTACAGCCTGTGGTTACAGGAACAACATGACATGTCCCCTGTGACATGGAAGTGGGGAGGGCATAGAGGCAGGTGAAAGATTATTGAATGGTATGCACCAAGTCAGTACCACAAGAAAAAAAAGGAAATATGGGCAGCAGGAAGGTGGAAATAGGACAGGATGGCAGAGCATCCCACCTGATGGAAACATAAAAATGCTGGCTGTGTGACAGAGAAACAGGTGACCAGGGCAGAAGGGAAGGCAAAGAATTTCTTATGGGCTCCTCCTCAGAGTGGCTGAACACACATGATCAGTCCAGTGCAAGGAGTTAAGAAATGTACAGTGATATTTCTCTCAGAAAACATCTGTAAAACATCAGATATTGTCAATCTACACCAAAGGTCAGCATGGGAAAATACTATTGTAAGTTTAGATTAAAAAAAAAAAAAAGCTAAGTCAACTATTATTGGTATGACTATGTTGTCCTTAGATAATATTACATTTGGACTTTCTCAGTATCAGGTAAAGTTTATGGCACCTCTGTAAGATACAACTAAGACAGTAACTATAATTTTGCAGATGAAGAAAAAATATGATTTAAGTCAAAGTCACATAAAAGACTGTAAATGCCTACATGCCAGGAAGGAAATTCAAACTATTTTTTCTCAGCACTGCTCTCAAGGTGCTATGAAATTTATAAAAATATGAAATAGTAGTTTATAATACTATAATAAGAAATTATGTAATCTCTCAGTGATTCATTGAGTGACTAGGGAAGAAACATATACATTAACAATCTCTTAATCTCTAATTACCTAAAATAACTGATAATTTTAACTGTTGTAAGTTAATGCATGTACACAGGTTGGACTGTTTGCTCTCAGTGAAATACCTGATTCTAAACACATCATAAAGTTATTTCTTCTATGGCACATGGACTCACATCAAGTAATGTCTTGCAGTTGACTTGACCAGTATTGATAAACAGACTCCAGAAAAAGAGATGGAAAGCCGAAAAAGAGCAAATGCTCTTGCCAACTTGTTTGTTGAAAAGGTCAAACATTTTGATGATTTCTTATGGAAAGTTACTGAAGGAGACAATGCTGAGACCACAGTCATCAAGCAGAGGTAAAGGAAAGAGTGTCATATGGAAGATCTGGAATAATAGCTACACCTTGTGCTAATTTAATTTTTATTTTTTTATTTTTTCCTTTGGGCAGGAATTCAGAAGAGGTAATGAATATGCCTCACAATTCAAGTGATCAATTACCAGGAGCCTTAAAGCAGTTCACTATATTATTAAGGTAATCCTATCTTCAGCATAAACAGTTATGTATCTTGCCCATTTGTATTTAAAATCATCAAAAAGAGGTACAGATCGTCCCACACCAATTGTCTTCCTTCAGCCTTTCAGCATTTTAGACCTGAAACACTTGGTGGCTACAGGTGCTTCATAGGTTTGACTAGGTAAAATCCTTTACAGGAACAGAGAACCCAACTTCTGTCTGAGCCAAAGCCAGCAAGTTCCAAGAACTGATTTTAACACTGTTTGGGGTGATGTGTCTGAATATAACCGGCATTAGTAAGCATTATATCTTACGGTCAATATTGCTGTTTTCCTAGTCGTCAGGTCTCCAATGACTTCAGAGATCTTCCAACACTATTAATCCATGGATTTGAAGCCCTTCTTATGTCATTACTAATTGGATTTTTGTACTATGGCCATGAAAAAACCGGACTCTCTATTCGTGACACAACAGCCCTGCTGTACATGATAGGTGCCCTAATCCCATTCACAATAATTTTGGATGTTATTGCCAAGTGTAAGTATGAGTCTTCTTGTAAATTCTATAAGGAATCAAAATTTTAAAAATTCTTAAATCAATGGAAAAAATAAACTTATTATCACAACCCAGTGTGTTTGTTCCTACCCTGCAGGTCACTCAGAAAGAGCAATGCTTTATCATGACTTGGAAAGTGGAATGTACTCTGTTGGCCCATACTTCTTTGCTAAGGTAATTGGTTTTGCTGCCAGGAAATACAAACAGCTGTCTTGAACAATAAAAAACACAAGCAAACCAAGGCCTTGCTGTATAAATAATCACATTCATATCAGACTTTATTCTTTTGTGTCTGCCAGCTACGGCTATCAGTCTCACTTCCTTAGTATTAATAGGTTAAGCCTCACACTAGTTTAGAACTTCGCCAAAATTCATGGCTGAGATCCCACACCAGGAAAGCCAAAGAACTTTTCACTGGGTTCTTTGGCCAAAATGTGAGAAATCTCGGACTCAAATTTCCAGGTTTAAACAATTTTACATACCTGCATATTTAATTCACTGCAGCATCTCTGAAATTTTGCTTACATATCTTGATCTGTAAAACAAAACCTTCATATCAAAAGCTAAAGCACAAAATGCTGTGGTATTTTGAGTAGTTGTTTGGGCCTGTATTGGTCCGAGCTAAAAAATGCATTACATGCACAAAAAGCCAGAGTTTCTAGAATTAAATTTAGAACTTTTAAAAAACTACATTCTCTTTTTCACAAAGGTTTTGAATAATCCCTCCTTTGTGTTGTTAGATGAGTTCTGCCTGCCATGGCATCTGTAATTTAGGTTTCCATTTCTGCACGAGATTTTAAATGCTTATTAGTGGTTGCCAGAGAAAAATATTCTTTGCATTGTGTCACAAAGATTGCACATTATTCACAGAGAAATCGATGTAATTTGTTACAACCTTAGTATTAGAGAATAGTAGCAACCCTCTTTGGAAGAACTAATATTCTCTATATACCTCTTAGGTATTTGAGAAAATCCCAGTTATGCTTTTGCTTTGCAATTAATCAAGTTGCTAACTGGACTGCCTTTGGGACAAGGTGGTGAAGGGACCAACAGCCAAGTTTGTCTCAAATTTAATCTCACACTAGTTTCAACCAAACTGGGACAAAACATTCAGTTGCCATGAGTCAGTAACAGTATTACTGTTACCAAGCACACCAGTTCAAAGCAAAAGTGTATTACCTTCTTAGAAGCTCCCAAAACTCTTAACAAAACAATCTGTAACGACTAGTCCTAGGCATTGTCACAACCAGAGAAAAAATTAGCCAGCATTTGTTTCTGTTGTGGATTGGTTTTGCATGTCACTGACAAGCCCTAACAGGCAGATTATTACATTCTAAGGGAGTATTTCCTATAGCTTTTATGAACAGTCCATAAGCAAATTAAGGCATATCTCATATATTTTTGTAATTATCATTCACCTTTTTCTCTTTTTTTTTTTTTTTTTTTTTTTCTTTTTTTTTTTTTTTTTATTTTCATTTTCATCTTCCCAAACAGATTTTGGGGGAGCTCCCAGAACACTGCATTTTTGTTATAATTTATGGGATTCCCATCTACTGGCTGGCAAACCTTGTTCCTGAGCCAGAACATTTCCTGCTGAACTTCGTGTTATTGTGGTTGGCTGTTTACAGTGCCCGTGCCATGGCGCTTTGGGTGGCAGCTCTGCTACCGACGTTGCAGCTCTCGGCCTTCCTTGGCAATGTCCTCTTCACATCGTTCTACCTGAGTGGTGGTTTTGTGATAAGTCTGAACAGCCTCTGGACAGGTAAGACAAAGCTCCCCCCCTCTTTCTGAAACACGAATTGCTGTCATCAGTGACACTGTGTCTTGTGCAGGAAAACTCAGCTTTATTCTTACTTTTGTTATTATCTTTTTGGATGGTGACAGTGCATTTTACATCAGTTTCTCCATCTGAAAATGAGGCAACAAGAAGTTGGTCAAAAAAGCACTAGTGTGGTTGCTAAATTCTTCAGTAAAAAGAATTGTATTCAAAGATGAAGATGGAGCTCCAGGAAGACTTAGTTGACAGGGGGAGTTTGATAGATATGGATATTCCTGATTTCCCATTTCCATGTAACTATGTAAAGGATATCTGCCATTTTGTCCAATAATACACTGTCACATGTTTACAGCCTCTGGCTGTCAAGAAGAGAGACAAACTTGTTGTATTTGGCAGCAGCACAGTAGTATTCGAGGTCTCAAGTTTGTGTGTGTGTATCAATTTCTGTCATTTTCTTTTGCAGTTCCTTTTTGGGTTTCAAAAATTTCTTTTATCAGATGGAATTTTCAAGGAATGATGCAAATTCAGTTCACTGACACCACGTATGAAATGTCTGATCGAAACATTACTTATCAAATACCAGGGAAACTTGTAAGTCAGCAATAAAAATTGTTGCACGCATTTGATAATTGAAATGCTATTTATATGCCTGTCATATTTAAATAGATGCTGTAGGCCTCAAATTTGGGAATTGCCCAAATCAACACATGAAGTTGTGTTACACTTGGTTGAAAATTTGTTCCTAAAGGTGGCCCTACAGCAGTTACTCCTTCTATGCCTTTCTTTTAGTTGCAGAGAAAAACCAAAATAACAAAGGGCAACTCTTTCCGACACCAGCTCCCAACCGTTAACTTTGCTGGAATTGTTTAGAAGCTGAACTGTGTTCTTCTGAAACAGGAATAGTGTAGCTGCAACCTTCTATTCAAACCACCCCGGAAGCTACACCCATGCTGGAAAACAGGGGAAGGTAGCAGGGGCCAGGGAACTTACACATAAAACACACTTCACAGATCCAGCATGAAAATTTTGTCTTTTCCTAATTTTGTGTTATTGGTCCTTACAGGTCACTCAGGCTCTGGACCTGGACTCCCATCCTCTCTATGTGAGCTACCTTGTCCTCGCTGGCATCATTTGCAGCTTCCTGCTTTTATACTATTTATCTCTGCGCTTTATCAAGCAGAAATCAACCCAAGACTGGTAAGAGCAGCAGAGGCAGCAGGTGACGGGCTCCCCTGCAGGAAGGCAGAGTTAGAAGGCTCCCGGTGGGAGCCCCGGCAGGCGGGCAGGAGGCGGGGAGCGGCGGCAGCCCGGCTGCCACAGGATGGCAGTAGAACCCCAGGAGTCGGGAGGCGGCCGGGAGCCTGCCACGGGCCGCGGCTGCAGCCTGACATTGGGGGTCGGGGGTGGGCTTTGGGCTTTTTGTTTGCTTCGCGTACGGGCTGAACGAGTGACAAGGCTCTTATGAGTTCTCCACATCTGGAAATAGTCTGAGCTATGGGCCACCGATATAAAAGGACCCATCGCGCTCTGTAATAATAGCTGATGTTTTAGTCTGTAATGTTGAACATAGGATGATCACTTTAATCAGAGGGCGACAAGAGAACAGGATCAAAACACTTTCTCTGGCATGTATAACGTTTAACATATTAAGAACAGCGCAGAGGAAAGCAACACAGAAGATTTCACAAGTGTTTCAGGAGAACGTGCAAGGATGCAAAACACAATTTTTAACTGCTCTGTGTTCCAGTTGCTTATGTGTTTTTTAAAGCTTTATTTCTGTGTTTTAAAGCTTTTCCTTTGTGTTCCAGTAATATACTGATGATGCCCAAAACAGGTGTTTGCTCACTGTAGAGATGAAATTTTGTAACAAATAAAATTATCTCACCTTCTTGGATTTATTTTTACAATATAAACGCATACCAACTGATTGTTACTAATGACATATTTCTCCATTGCAATAGACATCATAGTAATTTGCCAAGTCTCCTAATTTGTCAAGCTCCCTAAGGTTCTCAGGTAGAAAACACCAACCTGCCCCTGAGCAATTAAAAATCTAACGATGTAACCTATTAATGCTTGTCACAGTGCACCTAGTTATGCTCAGAAAATGAGTACCAGTAAATAAATGGCCATAATTCACAGAGTCATGGTGAGTGCATGTGCAAATTAGGTGTACAGTTGCTGTGAGTGTTTTGCAAGATCAGCTTGCTTGCTTTTAAACGTCTAGATATTCTTACATACAGAAACCCAAAGCAGATCGTCTACTTGACTTCCATTTGCATGTTGTACACAATTGAAAACTCCTACTGTAATAGTTGTAATGTCCCAGATAGTGTTATGTAAATTGTGAGGTTTGATTGGTTTTGGTTGTTTTATTTTGTTAAGAAATAGGAATGAAAGAACAACTATGTTTTACTATTCTATTTGGCAATTAGGACTGCCACATTACTTTCCACCAGCTAATAAATTCCCAATAGGACCCTGGTCTACAGATGTTAAACAGGTCTGATAAAATAAGATCTTCAGCCCCAGGCAGCAGTAGGAATCCAAAACACCACAAGGTTCTTCTAAGGTGAATTCTACCATTTCTTTCTCATTCTGCTGCATTTGATTTCAAAAAAACCCACTTGATTTGATCTTAGTGCCATTTTGAAATTATCAGATTTTCACTGCCTTTTAGTGGCAAAGCCATTTCTTTCAGTCCAATTCAGCATCATTAAATTGTCAGAATAGCAGCTTCCTGTTTGATTCTTAATTATTCCTTTTTATTATATTTAAGACACTTAATTTTTTTTAAAGTGGTTTACTCTTCTTTGTAATGATCTGTTGTGATTAGAATCTCTTTTATATTACACTGAAGTTTTAAGGGTATATATTGGTACTTCTAGTCTAAACCTCTATTTTCAAGGTATTTAGAGGATTAAATTCTAGGCTGACTCTCTGTTGTGAATTCACTTTGATGTTTAATAAAAAAAAGGAGCGACACAATGGGAGAAATTAAAGACATAAGGGACAGCTCTGAATTTTAGGGGCATATTGTCATGCACAGAAATCTTCAGGCGTCTAGATAAGAATATACCATAGCCTTAACTTTGAATTTCCTTCCTTTTGTGAAATTAGTCAGGCTGCTGACACTACTTAAACAGCCTTTTTCCATTTAATATTCCACCCTCTTACCATTATGCAGCAGGACCAAACGGTGTGAGTGTTTCAGAGGTGGTGTTATGACAAGGGTGGATGTATCCATAATGGGGACTTGAGCGGTGAGCCGAGGAACAGCCCGCGTGCGGAGTGCGGGAAGAGCTATCATAGGATGTGGCCAGGCCTCTGTTTACATAGAAAAAGCTCATATTCTATATACTACAATTACATTAGCACACTGCCTATGATCATATCTTGTTTCCTTGATGCCGAGAGATGGGGAATATAGGCTGTGATTATTGTTACAGGCTTTAGCAATAAGAAGGTAGGAGCCTTGAAATACCAGCAATTAGCGTTCATGCCTAACAATAGCATCCGTGGGGCTGTGTACTGAGAAGAGCTCAGGGAAGAGTGGGTGGATGACACACAACCTGCCCCACTCGCACTGCTGGCACTTGCAAATAATGCAAGTTGGGGGAATGATGCCTCTCTCAGCCAGTGAAGGTCAAGCCGTATGCCTTGGCCTCTGCGTATGCTTCCACAGCAGAGCCGATGCTGCAAAAGCACACGGTGGGTGAGGCAATAGAAGTCTTCCCATGAGCTCAAACCAAGGCTAGAAGTCATAACTGAATTTCAGCACAGCTTTGCTTTCCAAGTTTGAGAGTAGCAGTTCCTTTTCCTTAGACTGTATCCCTGCATCAGCAGCAGCTCACTGTGCCCTCCTGCCTGCACTTCCTGTATCAGTATAACCAGAGCTGCTGCAGTCCACAACAGTCTCAACACTGAGACTAAACAACACAAGGAAAACACTGCCCAAAACTCACTGTACTGCCCACTCCACAGGGTCAGTACAATGTTAGGGACTTTAGCAATGTGGTAATGCAGGTGTGTCACTCAGCAAAGCACTGCCCACCAGTCCAAAAGTGCCCCCATCCCAAAGATTCACCAGCAGCTGTCTTTGCTGTCCCTATATTCTCCCTGGCCAGCTTTCCCTTTTAGAAGGGATCTCCTCAGCTGTAAGTCCCAGTCCCTGCTCCTGCAGGCAACCAAGTCAGTGCAAAACTGGTTTTGAACTGGCACCACATTTAACTGGTCACAGGGTTTCCGGATTGTTTTGTCCAACTACTGTTTGAACTGTGCACAATCCAACTGCATCAGCTGCTGCAGTGTGCAGATTGGGCTGCAGTGCAGTTTGGGAATGGGATTATCAAACACAAGCAACAATGACATTTGTAAGGAAAATTCAACAAATTTAGAACCACAAGACTCATTGTTGGTTACATGGATACTGATCTGTTAAGAAACAGGTTTAAAAATTCCCTTTATTAGTTTAATAATTAATACAGTAAGAGGTGGGAAGTTCTTCCCCAATTTCCACTCCAAATTTATTGAGTCTTTCCACTACGGCAAAAGGACAAAGTCTTTTAGCACTGGGAAATGGATTATAGAAACACTGCCCTGCATACTGGCTCACAGGTAGTGTTAGGTCTCCAAAATATTTTTAACTTCTCCTTGGGGAAGAACTAGCTTTCACTATGGCTAGCCTAAATTAATAAGTAGTTGCCAAAAGTTTCATTTCATATTTGTTCCAAAAATCTCTTCAGAAATGCTGAATAACAAGTATCAATAGCCATTCCTTTTAGTAAAAAAACCCCATTGAATTCCTTTAAAAAAAAATCACAGACAATGCATTATGCGTGGAGATTCTTTGTGTAAGAAATTGCAGGTGTTGGTGTGTCCACTTTTACCAGAAATAACAAACCTTTCAGGTTATAGCCACAGTGATTAATTTTAATGGCAGTAGACAAGAAACAGTGTACACAGAGCTCTGTGACATGCTGCTTTTTTTTTTTATATACTCTGAGAGCCAAGACAAGCCCTTCATGTGTTAGCAGCTATTAATTAAGGCAACAATGTTTAAGCAGTGGGTTGAGGTAATTTTAAAACTGCTTAACCCTTTTCAGAACTGCTGAGCTTTAGAAAGCACATACATATGTGTACTGATATTAATATGTAGAAGTATCTGAATGGATGGATTACATACATATGTATATACACACATAACTAATGCCTATGACTGCTTTTTTTTTGTAGAGAGTATTTAAAAAGCAGTTCAAATCCATAATTTATAGAAGTGCTGTTGCCAATTTATATAATTAATTATAAGACTGTTTGTTGACATTTATTTTGTCATTAAATCAAACTTAAAGGTTATTTTGAATTGCAAATTTTGTGGGCATTATTTTGATTTCATGGTCACAATTAGATACCTACAATGCTTCCAGTGCTAAAATCCCTATAACTTCAAACCCTCTATATTCACACCATGGCTTCAGAACCAGCATCTCCCATCAATGACACATTTGTATGAGCTGGTGCTCTTTAAACATCTGTTCAGATTTTGCTACGTTTCCTACTGCATCTCATCACTGTTTCTGCCCCACAGTAGTTTTTCATGTTGAACAAGTGGGTTTAGAGGCGTAAGTGTTGAAGTGCTGGCCAGAACTACATGGTGAGTAGACAAACAATGCCACTTGCCTCAAAAATAATTAATATTTTTTACACAAGAAAATTAGCCTGAATTTCCAAGCAAATGCAGAGGAATTGGAAATCCATGAACATTCACAAGTAATCAACACCAAAACACACACAACATGTAATTTTCAATGAACTCCCAGTGCCTTGCAGTAACATACAACTGTATCACAGGTCACAGGTAACATGATCAGTCTTCAAGACAGTACCTTTGCTCATTTTCACTTACTGGGGGATGGGGGAAGTGTTTAGAAAACAACAGAAACTTTCTTAAAATAGAAAACCTTCACATTTCACTCCCTGAGAAAATCAGGAGGAAGAAAACCAAAAAATGTAGCAGCACTGCTATGACTGTCTGGCCTCCAGCAGCTCCTCCCTGACACAAGTAAACATCATCCTTGTCACAGTTCAATGCTGTGAAGATTGCCCTAAAAAAAATGAGTATTACCTTAATAATTGCTTTTCAACAAATACCTGAACCTTCTGTGACTCAGTAAAAAACAGCCAATTGCCTTGTGGCAGTGCTTCATCTGACTGTGGAAAGGCATAAAGCCAAAAAATGGGAGCTCTGAACAAGGCAGCAGAAAAATGTGCTACACAAAATGAAAACCTTGAAGAACAAGATGTGTAGTGCCCTTACTAGCTGCCACCAGGTACCTTACCTTACACAAGGCAGTTGCTGGATTTCCAGGTGGGAAGTTTGGAGGACAAACCTGTGCTGGCCATCAGCCCAAGAGACTCTGATCTCAGCTGAGCAAGGCAGAACATCACCACCAACTTCGCTCTTTTAGCATCCCCTTGATAGAATTATTTAATCAATCATTTTGGCTTGCAGTTCTTAGCAACAGGAGCACGGGCGCGGTCCAAAAGCCAGCATGGTCCCACCAGCCATGTGTGATTCTGCACACAGCACTTCTGACCACTCACACCACAAACTGTACCTGCTTCCCCAATTCCCCTCACAACTCCTACAAATAATCCTGTAAAAAAGCGTTTTGGCCAAGCATTATTATTACCAAGAAAGGCATGCTTGTCTGGTTATAGCAGAGCTCAGCACTGCCAAACATTTTCAACACACTTGCTCCAGGTTTGTTCCTTCTAAAAGCAAGACAAAAGAGGTGAATGAGTATTTTTAGCTTTATGTACTTCACAGGGAATTGCTCAGTGCCTCTGTATTAGAAAAATGCCTTGCAGCTCCATAGTATGTTCAGTGACAGGCGCGTGACAAATTTCCACTGGAAAAAAAACTCTTGAACATGACTGACAATAGTAAAGCCACAAATTACCGTAATTTTATGCCCCCTGCAGCTAGTGGTGTAAAACATAGTTTTCAACCTTGTTTTTACTTGCTGAATTTAGACAAATTTGTAATGTTATTGATGACAGTGAGAAAGACACTCAAAAGCAGAAATTGTATTCCTTGGCACAAACACAACTGGAGCACAATATTTTATCTGTACTATAGGG